AAAAAAAAAAAAAAAAAAAAAAAAAAAAAAAAGAAAAGAAACAAATGGCACAGTTATAATGAATTCACAGGTGGAATGTTATTCAGTTAGAAAACATCTATTTTGAATTTTTAAATATTTAAATGTTTCAGCTAGGCATGGTGACACATGCCTGTAATCCCAGCACTTGGGAGGCTGATGCAGGAGGATTGCTGGGAGTTCCAGGCCACCCTGGGCTACATAGTGAGTTCAAGCCCAGTCTGAATATAGCGAGACCCTGTCTCAAAAACACAAAAATAAATTTTAAAAATAAGTGTTTCATTAAGGCATGTAATAATTTTTTCAAACATGGTGGGTAAAATGAAAATTTAAATCCATAATGGTAAAAGATGACATACTGACTGCAAAACAGAAACAGCATTATTTTTTGTATATTTTTTCTTCTTGTACCTGGAATCAAACTCGGGACCTTGAACTTGTGAGGTAGACAGTGGAACCACTGAGCTAAATCCCCAGCCCTGTATTTTTCATAGTATAGTTTTTTATAATTTTCTAGCAATGCAATAAAACCACTGAACTTGTATATCCATGTCCTATTCAAACCATGTTCCATTAAAAAAATAAAGTATCAGGGATTTAGCTCAGTGGCACTGCACCTGCCTTGCAAAAACAAGGTCCTCAGTTTGATCCCCAGTACTGGAAAAGAATTAATAGAAACTACTCTGCTATCTTGACCGCTTTCTACCTCTCCCAGCTCCACCACTGCAGTTTTACCAACTGTACTTGGCCAGTGCTTATTCAATCTGACCCATGCGGTTCATCTGTCTGTCTGTCTCCAGATAACTGCGATTCCATTCAAGCCTATGGTCAAGCCCAGACTCCATCCTACACCGGCACTGATGCCAGCAGCTGAAGCCCACATCCTGGTCCTAGGTCAAACATTGAGCTTCAGTCCTCTGCAAGGTGGGCCTGGCAACAGCTCCAAAAGCTCCCCTTACGGCGAAGGAGAATGGAAGTGCTTGGGCAGCAGGGAAGGCAGGCAGCAAATGAAATATTAAAGTAGGATAAATCATCCACTCAGAGCCAGCAGCAAAGGAGCCACAGACAGCTGAGTCACCGTGGTCGCATAGGGAGTCCAGGTGTGCAAGCCCGGCAGGGAGCTGCAGGTCTTTGAAGCAGCTCTCTAAGAGAGCAGGACGTGGGGGTGCTGGGAGCTTCCCCATATCAGTCTGCAGCCTGCCCCACTGGCCAGGAGGTCTGCTCCCTCTCATCCCCAGTCCTTCAATGCTCACAGCACAGCGCTGTCTCTGAGAGCCCTGCCTGCTTCTCCCAGACAGCACTGCCACCCCACCATTATGGGCATCAGGATGGGGGTGGCGCTGTTATCTGTCCCTCTGGTCCCTGAGAGGGTGACAGGAGGGCCCGGGCCCAGCACGTGGAGGGAGGGAAGAATGGGCCACACCCTTGGCCAAGCCCTCAGCTCTCACCTGGACAGCTACTAGGGCCTCCTCACTGGTCTTGCTACCTTCATTCTCTCTTCCTTCATTCCAATCCACCTTCCACAAGTGCTGACAAGAGCTCTAAAAAGACACATTTGAACCTGTCACTCCCCTGATGAAAGGCCAAAGTCCCCCAGCCTCCAGTGTTAGGCCCACAATGTTCAGCAGGACACGAGGGGCCCTTACCATCTGGTTCTGATTCACCTCTTCTGCTTTTACTCCTGTCCCACACCCTGGATTCGGCCATGCTGGTACCCAACATCCCACTGAACACCAGGGAGATTCTCTCAACTTCTGAGTTTTTGTTGTTGTTTTGGTTTTTTCTTTTGGGTACCAGGGATTGAACTCAGGACCTTGTGCTTGTGAGGCAGGCATGGAGCCACTGAGCTACATCCCCAGCCCCAGCTTTTGTTATGTAAGACAGAATCATGAGCCCAGGCTGGCCTCAATCTTGAGGTGCTACTGCTTCAGCCTCCCACTCATGGGTATGCACCACCACATGCTGGCCTGTTTCCCCCGGCAGTAAAGGCCTTGTTACTTCTTTCCTGTCCCTGTAAATACCCTTCAAAACCCAGAACAGATGTCGCCTTCTGAAAGCACTTCTTGAACTTCCCCCACTAAGATGAACTCTTTTGTTTGTTTTTATTTTATTTTGGTACCAGGGACTGAATACCAGGGCCTTCTCGCTGAGCTGCATCCCCAGCTTTTTTCCATTTTTCATTCTGAGACAGGGCTTTGCTAATTGCTGAGTTGCCCAGGCTGGACTTGAGCTTGTGATCTTCCTGCCTCAGACTCCCAGAGTGCTGGGACCGCAGGTGTGCATTACAGCACCTGGCTCCTACCTTAACTTTTAAGAAAAATTTCATGTTTGATCCACACTTGAGAACACAGCTCCTTTCCCACCGCTGTGACAGCACCTGCGCCACTGCTCTCCCTGTCCACCCTTGAGACACTGGCTCGCAGGAAGGCCCGGGCCAGCCTGGCAACCACATGTGCATGGGCGAGGCTGACAGCTCCAATGCGTAGGAGCTTGGAAGTCAACCTCTCACCCCACCCACTCCGACTTGCTAACGGACCAGACAACTCACTCACCCTCTCTGGCGCCCTCACTGCCCACCCTCCCACCCATAGGCACTCTGAAACCTGAACTCTCACATGGGTGCCAAGCGCAGAGCACAGCTCTCCAAGGAGCACAGCTCTGCAGGGAGCACAGCCCTGTGAGCTTCGGCCCTAGCCACCCTGAGCAGAACGGGGGAAATGATCCACACAGCCCAAGGGTGCCCTCCTATGCAGATGGGTGAACTTTAGCCTGGCACTGTAAGCACTGACCTGGTATGGAAACACACACAGCGCTGCAGGGCAAAGAGCCATCTTCAGACACACAGGAAAGGAGGGTGCCATGACTCGCACTCCTGTCACAAGGGGAGGCTCCCGCCTGCAGCTGTCCCGGGCAGGCCTGCGTCCGGCTGCACACAGACCTTTCTTGTCCTCTGAGCGGCACTCTGTGCCATCCTCAGCCAGAACCCTCCAACCTTGTTTACCAACAGCCCTGCACATGATTCCAGTCCCAGCCCCTCCCATCTCTTTCCTCTTCCCAAACGCAAACCAAACCCACATAGCTCCTATCTTACCTTGTCTGCTGACCGTGCAGACAAGGCTGACTGAGCCTCCTCCTCCACAAAAAATAAAAACCACGCCATCCAGCTACTCAGGAATCACTCCCTCAGAGGTCAATAAAACATAGGATAATAGGTTTCTGATTGCAGTCTGGGGCAGTAGGGTTAAAGACGCTTCCTCTACAGTCTGTCAATGCAGGTGGCCAGTTCTGTGTCTACTGAGCCTGGATGAGACTAGAAAAGAGCACACACTCCAAAAGATTTCACAGATCTATGACAGGGCCAAGCAGGAGCAAGACGGGAGGACATGGATATGTGTGACAGCATATTCCGCGATGGCAAAAGAACCAGAGTTTTAGCTACAGTTTGTCACATTTCGGGAATATTAGTCTCTAAATGAAATCATTTCTTACAAAGTAGAATCTGTAACACGTAACGTGTTTCTTTTCTGGTGAATGCCCATCAAAAGGCCAAAATGCAAAGCTGCTCATTCCTTCTAAGCACCGAGCACCAAGGAGAGCTGGGACCCAGCGCTATCCTACAAGTGCACTCCTTCTGCCAGGTGAGTCACGCTGCCACAGAGGAGCACGACACGTGGAAGGGCAACAGCTGGAGCAGAGGGCCCCGCAGGCGTGCAGACTCCACTAGGCCACCGTCCCGAGCAGGCACGGCCAGATGCTGAGCCCCCGTGCATCCATCGCTGGCGGAGGTCACATTGAGTCATCCACTTTTCTCAAAGTCACAGGCGCTCTTACGGCAAATATTCTCAAGAGCACAAGGATCACCCTTCAGCCAAATGCCCACAGGACAAGCACGCTGAAGCTTTAACTGCACTGTGAGCAGCAACCAGGGTAATGTCACCAAGTTCTCCAGCCCGCCTGAGTTTCCTGCTGATTTGAACAAGGTTTTGAGTTCTGTATTTTCTTCTTTAAATGACACATACCAAATGATCATGCCGTGCCTATCTCCATTACAGAAGAGTTCTAAAGCCCCTGCTGTGAATACTTGAGCATGCCCCAGAAAAAATGCACAAAAGTTACCCCATGGAAGAACAGGAAAACGTCCAAATTAGCTCACCACATTAAGCCTGGATGATCCTAGGGAAGACAGCTGAGAAACTTACAAACGGGCGTGACCTGGAGTGTACAGAAGGCCCAATCCCCTCAGAAGACCGTACACACTCGTAAAGGGTTGCTTAACAGCTAAGACAGGTGCTACTTACTTCCTCATTAAATAGTTTGCTAGTTTCTTTTTTGATTGGGTCTATAAGCTGGACTTGGCCTGCAGAAAAGCCCACTAGGAGAGAGACACTCTCTGCTGTGGCTGTTAGGTGGTTGAAGTCATGACAAGTAGGCTGAGTTCCTTTGTATATCCTTTTATCTATTGGTTTACTCAAGTCAGCAGCCTAGAGGAGAAAGAGAAAAATACACACAGTGAACAGCACATTACTCTTTCACACTCCGTATGATGCTCAATCTTAAAAACAAATTATAGAAAATATTGCTTCAATTGTTACTTAATTCAGCTAACATTTTATAAAAGTATTTTCACATATCTTAGCCAAAGAGATACTATTAGACTATCCATAACATACTGACTCATAACTTATTTCCAGAATGTATTTTATTTTAAATATATGTAACAATATGACTTCATGAGGAAATATCTTTGGGATACTAAATTCAGTATTTTTCAAATCCATTTCAGGAAATTTTGAAGTTATTGTCATTGTTGTTTTTTTTGACAAGGTCTTGCTATGTAGTCCAGGCTAGCCTTGAACTCGCTGTGTAACTCAGGCTGATCTCTACTTTGTGGTCCTCCTGACTCAGCCTCCCATGTGCTACAACTACAAGCACATACAACCATGCCTAGCCCCACAGTTTCAACAGAGTAACTGTAACCACATAAAAGCTCAGCTTTCAGCCCAGAATGGGGGCACACGCCTGTAATTCCAGCACTCTGGGAGAGTGAGGCAGGAGGATCACCAAGTGGAGCCCATCCTGGGTAACTTAGATTTTGTCTTATAATTTTAAAAAAAGGGCTGGGGATTTAGTTGAAGGCCCTGGGTTCAATCTCCTCTACCGGAAAAAAGGCCAAGTCCACCGTCACGCCTATCTATATCACCTGAGGGCCCACCTTGAGCCCCAGACCTGCAGTGGAGCTCCCTGGACACTCAGAAATGCGCTGCTCAAACCCCAGCTCAGCTCCACTGTGGGAAACCCAGGCAGGCCGGGCTGGATCTGAACAGCACCTCTTGGCCAGGGCGATGCCCACTGGGCCCACACCCTCCTCTGGCACCACCCCTCTTCCCCCAGGAACCTATACCATGGTGGGCGCAAGGTTCTCCCCGCTCACTCTCAGAGGCGCCGCGCCTACCCACCAAGGGGCAGGCTGGCCTGGACCCGGGGCTGGTGACTGTAAGTGGACAGGGAGGGGCACCCAGCGCACCCTAGAGTCTAAAGTGAGCCGCTCCGACTCAGGTTTGGAGTGTGCTCCCAGTGTGCCCCCACCCCATCTCTGGAGCCGTCTCTTCCGGGGAAATGGTGCGTGCTACCTCATCTGCCTGCAGTCCACCACGCCCGCTCGTGTCTAAAGGCCACAGGTGGAGACAGCTGGCACCGCAGACCCTGTCCCTGAAAGGTGCCCTCCTGCGTGCCGCCCGGTGTCACAACTCTAAAGATTTCCGCCTGCCAGAGGCCTGTGATACCGACCTTCTCCACTTCATTTCAAAGAATACAAACACTGAGTAGAAAAGACACCTGCAGTTCCAGGCGTCCACACAAACTCAGAGCCGGAGCTCTGGAGTCTGGACCCGAGTGGGCTGTGCCTGGGAAAGCTGCCCATCCCGGAGCCAGCGGAGCCTTGAAAGTGAAACCTGAGAGCAAAACCAGCGGAGGGAGTCCGGCCTCCGCACAGGGAGATACCGGCGAAAGGGAGGCAGCCCCAGTGTGAACAAGTCATGACCAGCAGTGAGAGAAAAGCACTCCACTTAGAAACACGAGCAGTTCAATCATCGTCCATGCACCTGGTCAGCACATCCCACTCCTGAGGCCTTTTACAGAGTTCTACAGAATTTTTCCCTAAAAAGAGATGACCGAAATTACACACTCAAATACAAAAACCAATTCAAAGGCTAGACAAAAATCAACAAAAAAATTCTAATATAAATTAAATGAACAAAAAACCTATACACAAGAGAAGGAAAAGCAGCTCTTCCCCACATAGGGCTACAGGCCCAGTGGCCTCACACCCCCAGCTCTCTCGGTGCTCCTGTCAGTCCCTGCCCCGTGCAGAACTATACTGAAAGGACGCAAGTACTTTAAACGCACTCCTTCAGCGGATCACCACTGGGGAGCCTGTTCACTGGCTCGCTCACCCAAGGGCCGCGGCGTCCACAGAACAGAGCTCAGAGACACCCCTGTTCCCGAGACCAACAGGCTGTCCTGTACACCGTGATGATAAAAAACAGCACTTGCATTCTGCATGTTGTCCCCATTTCTCCCAGTAACTCTAAAGTGCCAATCCAGCTAGAGCGGAAAAATGTTACAATTCACCCTTTAACACTATTGTGAGGAACGGTGTCCTCAGACAGAAAAGTATGGCCAGGCCCTCCGCTGTTCTCCAAATGATGTGACCCCTCCTGCCCAAGCTCACCCCACATCCCAGGGACAGGTCACCTGCGCCAAAGTGCTGCTGTGACACCGGAAGTGACTGACAGGTGGGTGCCCATTAAAAAATACATTCCATGCAAATTAAAACAAGACTGAGATTCCATCTTATTCCAGAAAGAACAGCTATCCTCAAGAAATCAGATAATAAATACTGATGAGGCTGTGGATAAAAAGGAGACCTACATTTTTTAGTGGGAATATAAACCAGTACGACCACTGTGGAACTCAGTATGGAGATTCCTCAAAAAACTAAAACTAGAGACTTCATTTGACTCAGCTTATTCTCTTTCTTGGTATTTCCTAAAAGAGTTAAAGACATCGTATTACTGTGAGACAAGCATACCCATGTTTTAATCTTGGAAATAGCCAAATGTTGACTGGCATATGAATAGGTAAACAAAATGGGGTACTTATACACAATGGAGTACTACTCTGCCATAAAAATGGGTAAGCTTGAGACATTTGTAGGAAAACAGATGTACTTTGAGAGAAGCCTTAAGTGAAATAAGTCAGACACACAAGATTAAATGTTTCTCTATGAGAAACTCAAAATAAAACTAAATAGATAATACAAAATAGATAATAGAAATCAAGAAGATCTTTTAAACATGGGGAGCAAAACAGAGAGGGGAGGGAGGAAGGAAAGCTGGGGGAGAAAAAAGGGGCTAAAAAAAACTGGAAAAGAAATGGAGCTAGGAGCCGGGGAAATAGCTCAGTGGTTCCCCTGCCTGCCTTGTAAGCACAAAGTCCTGAGTTTGATTGCCAATACCAAAAGAAAAGAAATGGAGATAGAACTTTTGTGAAAAGGAAGGAGACCAAGAGATGGAAGGAGTTCAGAAGGGAGTGGTAGGGGACAAAAAAGATGTGATACGTACACATACCAACTCTCTATGAAAAATGTAATCATTACATACTACAAATACATACTAATAAAAATAAAAGTTAAATAAAATAATACTGGGCCAGGGATTTAGCTTAGTGGTTCCACTGCCTACCTTGCAAGTGCAAGGACCAGTTGGATCTCCAGTAACAAAAAAAATAATAACAACAACAATAACACTGGAAAAAAAAAAACAGTACATTTCTGTCGGGTGTGGTGGTGCACGCCTGTAATCCCAGGAGGCTGAGACAGGAGGATTAGAGTGAGTTTGAGGCCAGCCTGGGCTACATAGTGAGACTGCTTCAACAAAACAAAAGAGCATTTCTGAAAAAAATCCATAGGTTCCACTACAGCTGTTTGAGCTTTGTAGAGCCCAGACAGAGGAGGGCGAGGCCCCCAGCACCACCCTCTGGGAGACACAGTCTTCTCTGTCTGCAGCCAGTCCCCAGGCTCTGCCCTTCTGCTCGCAGTGGGTGCTACCTCCCTGGAGAGCACTTCCAAGGACGGAGAAAGGGCTTGGGTTCAAACCTGCCAGCCATACCTTGTAGAGAATGCAGAGCACCCCACCCCGCCCCGTCCTGCTGCAGCTGCCTATCAGCCACACAGATGGACCTGCCTGCCTGCACCACCCATGCTCCCAGAGAGCAACACTGCCTCCTGTACTGGGCTTCCTCTCACCCAGGCCACCCTGACTGAGCGGGCACTCTCCCCCAGTAACCCAAGATGCCACTACCACCCCACACAAGGCCAGCCAAAGATGGTGATGGTGTGGGCCCCATGCTGCCCTCTGCGGTGTCCACACTCCAGGACCCGCGTCCAGGGCTTGTTCAACCAGCTCGCTGTCCACAGTAGGATTTAACACAAATGACCATCAGACAAACTTATAATACAGTTCCTTCAAGCAGAACCTCATTAAACAGCCAGTGACTGTATTGTTCTACAAAATGAGCTTTAGTGGTTTCTTCAATGCTTTCAGATTTTTAAAAAATGCTTGCATCCTCATTACTGTCAATCATCTGAGCTCATAAACATGAACTTGTACCAGAACCAATTTGCTAAAAACTCGTACCAGCTTTTAGAACTAGGTCACATTTGTACCCAGCTCCAGCGGAGTACCCAGTCTGTCACAGACACACAGTATCTGCTGAAATTATGCCACAATTATTCCTGATTTTTTTTCAATGGCAGGATTAAGTTACATAATCATGTTCTTGAGTTTTGCACAGTTACTGATGACTAATAATTTGTCAGTGGCTCCTGTTAGGTTCTCAATCTAGTTGAAAATTTTAAATGATGGCTTATAAATTCCTACTAGAGAAACAGAACTGATCGCAAAAAGGCCTACTCTCTCCTAGAATTCTTTTCTTGAGGAAGTCTGCCGAAGTGCAGAGCCACGAGAACCCCAGGAACCCCTCTCTGCAGCACCACTAGAGTCCCAGCTCAGCCCCACGAGGCCATGACCTGCCCTGGGACACTGGCAAACCAGCAGGAGTGTGGAGGGGTGCTGGGCCTTGGTAGAGCGTGGGTCTGTGCTCCTGTGAGTTTGCTACCTGCTGCTACCCAGTACCCAGAAGCATCTGATGTGGCAGGGAAAATATCATGATTTTTTTCTGAGGAATGCATGTCAAAGCCAGGTGTGGTAGTGCGTGCACCTTTAATCCCAACAGTGGAGACGCTGAGGCAAGAGGATCACTGTCACTAATTAGAGGCAAGTCTGTGCCACAAAGTAAGACCAAGGCCAGCCTGAATGACAAAGGGAGAACCTGTCTTTAAAAAAAAAAAAAAGGTGATAGGAAAACTGGTTATCCACATGCAGAGGAATGCAATTAGACTAATATTCATACCTTATACAGA